GTATTTGGGGCCAACCTGCGCAGTTTATCGGTGAACTTGTCCAGCTCCTCCTGTGCTCGCCGCAGCTCCGTCTCCAAGTACTGCCGCGTGGAGTCGAACTCGCTCTGCAGCAGCTCCAGCTTGTGTGTTGTGTAGGACAGCCTCTTCCGTAAGTCCTCCTTCTGCTCCAGCAACGAGCTGTGCACACGCACGCACACAAACACACACACACACACACACACACACAAACACACAGCAGATGCTTGTGTTCAGGGCATATGGTGAGGGAAACGAGCCTGTAACTTGGGCATATCCTTATCTAAATGGACTTATAAGGGTCCATATATCTTTTTAATGCACCCCTGAATGGCCATGCAGAAGTGATGAGAACATCATGAGAGGGCGATAAAAGCAGAAAAGTTGTGAGCAAAAGTGCTTTGTATGAAGAAAGCATGAGACCAAAACACAGATCTCCAATTAAGAATCCAGGCGAGGGTCCAGGGCTCTTTCTCTGTGCTTTATTAAAGCCATGCAGCACATCACACAGAAACCCAATCATCAGTGAGATTGGCCCCACGGACAGAAGGAAAAAAAATGGATGGTGTAATCTGTGATGAAATATGAGCCAATGAACTCTAATACATCACATGAATAGACTGTGAAGGCTCAGATTTACGCAGCAGCGATACCCCCCCACATGTAATTCAGCGAGACAGCACAATGATGACTATTTTTAAAGTATGTGCATTACCTGGGCTTCAATCTAATAAAAGGGCAAGTGTGAGTGGGAGAAGAGGAAATGTCTGCCGCCGTGATGTATCTGAGCGTGCACGGCCGGGCCTAATGGACCCTGTATTGACGGACAGATGGAGGAAGGAGGGTAATGACTCTATCTGCAGCCAGATAACAGATAGCAGGGGGAGCGGATGGAGATGTGGTCACCTTGCTCTTTTCACTTCCTCTTTTTGTCTCTTTTAACAAGATTATAGATGCAGACGGTGGTGGTGGGGGGAGGGGCGGGGAGACGGGGCCAGAATTCAGGTGCGAGTTTGTTTCGGTGCATTTTCCAGGCGACTAAGCAGAGGTGTCATCCACTTTTCATCTCATTAATATGCATGGTCATTGGTCAGTGGAACGAGAGGTAGACTGGGTCCGCCCACATTTTATACAGAACTACGGCTTGTTAGATTCAAAATTACGAGTTGAAACATTTCTGTGGTCGGGTAAATCAGTTAAACTGGAGTCACACAAACAATTGAAATAAGAGTTTACTCACACTCACTGTACCCAATGGATTTAGTGGATTAGCCACTTTTTCTCTTGTGTCTGTTGCTAACATGAGGTTTGTTTGGTCACAAGAATATTCATAAATTGATTTGAATGCAAATGATGAAGTTTGTGCATTTTTTAGAAACAAAGCTGCTTCAGAGGCAAAAAGCCCTCAGCGGTTGGTGTAAACTTTGACTGTCAGGACCAAGTCCTCCAGCAAGATGACAAATTACGCCATTTGTTTTTTTTAATCGCTTGTGTTCTCGATATGACAAAGTGCACAGTGCAGGATTAAGTTTGGGTAAACTAATTTCACTTGGTTTATGAAGTGTGGCTTTGATGGTGAACAGAAACGTGAGGAAACAGGCCACAAGCCTCAATCTGGACACAACATCGATGCCAAATCAATGTCAGAGGTTTTATAGGCACCATTCTCCTCTCTGAAGCTGTTTTCGGCATGAACTCTGGAAAGTCCAGAGAATTAGTTGCGGATATTATCTGGAGTTTGTCTCTCACATATGAAGGACACAGTAGGAGATTGTATGGCACCGTTTTTTCATCTTATATATGTTCTTTTTAGTTTTGGGTTTGTCATGTTAGAAAAGTCACCAACACACCCACTCGCTTTGACTGACTTCACTGAACCAATTATACGTTTTTATGCCTCAAGCAGCTTTGTACCAAGAACTGTCCAGTCTCCTCTCAGTCGAATATAATGGGTTAAACGCTGATAAACTAACAAAGTGAATTCAGAATTTATCATTTCAATCCGCACCTTGAATGTTGTTTATTGTTGAGCCTCAGTTTACGCAGAGAGCCGCAGCATCTACAATCAAGTGAGAAATACAGAACGATTCAATGAACGTCTCCACGGACTGGATGGCATTTCAGTGCCGCATTACCCAGCAGCCCCCGCCTCCTCACCTCCTGCTTGCCTTTGATTGGCAGGCATTAGCAGGGGAATACAGGTGTTTGTTGTTTGATGGAGGATGAGTTTACGTGAAGTAGCTCTAGGGATGAAAAATCTCCCATTAGTGACCTCCTGTGCGACAGGCGCTGAGTCAGACAAAATGAGTGCTTTCATTCCGCCGAGATGAGATGACGAGGCAGTGTGACTCCTGGGCACGGAGAGAGGCGGGCTGAGGCTGCCTGGGCGCCACTGGACGGCGAGAGGGGACACCTCGTGGGCGGATGAGCAGACAAACAGATACAAACGAGCACGCACGGATGGATGGATGGCGTCTGACTGGTTCACTCTTACCTCTTTTTCGGATGTTTACCGCCATTTCGGGGGACTTTTAAGGCGGTTTTGCCAATGTATATCTTTTTCATGGTTTGTCTGTGTTCCTTCCCTCTCATGTGTTTATAGGGGTTGACCACAGGGTACCAGCATGTGTGTTCGTTTCCCAAAGGAGACCAGCTAAGTCTGGCCTGCGGAGTTACTGAGCGCTCTACCTGTGTTGACCCTGCCGGACAAAGCAAACAGACAGGTTGGCAATTAACCACGGTTCAAGCAAGGAACCTGTGTGAAGGACAAAGACGATGTTAAAAACTCAGCTATTCGAGTTACCAGATATTTTGCAATCATAGTCACTTTAATAGCAAAATTCCTCACAGTTTTATCTTTGGCAGACAAAGAAACGCTGAAACAGCAGTGAACTAAATCCAGATTAACAACCCATTTTGAAGGTTAGCAGCTCTTCGGATGGTACAATGCATAATTAAACACTTTTAAAACAATTGCTGATGTAGTAATAATTTTATCATGGTTTTGTTGGGGATGTTGTACTTTCTTCTTCACAATATCACACCAGTAGACACGTTTACAATGACGCCAATATTCCAATACTCACCCCGTGAAAATAGAATTTTCTGATTCAAGCCTTTGCCGCATTATTTGAACACGTACACGTCCTACTCACATTAAAAAAGCCTTTTCACGACAATTTTTGACATAGTGTTGATGTGACTCATAATCAGGAATATGAATGGAATATTCTATTAGCAACCCGTGCAAACATTTTAATCAACATCATGTCTTATTCTGAATAAGGTCAATAGTCACTGGGCTATTTCTTGAAAGGATACAGAGGAAGTGAAAATGAAAGAATCAGACATCAGTGTTAAATGTCAAACTTTGGCCTCCGTCCTTCAGATTTAAAGTTCAACAATCACAATATCCAATATTCTGATTAACTGAAATGTTAAATGCTTTCAAACCAGCTGATTGAACTGTTTCCCTCAACATATATTCAGCATTGGGATAAACTGGTGGGTTTTAATACCCATAAAAACCTGGTATTTCTCCATGACACTAAATATTCATGGAGAATAAAAAACTGATTAACACTCAAACACTCATCTAATCTGAGCTCTCTGCGACTGTGAGCTTTTGTTTTCATCAGATTTCAAACAACTCCACAACTGTCACCCGGGAAATACATGAAATGTTTTTTTCTTACATTTGGGCCTCGTCTAGCTCAAACCAGTCAGAAGAGCCCAGAGAAAAGCAGCAATACAGAAATAGCTTTAGTGTAGAAATACATAACCAACGATAAGAGGCTGATTGGGAACAAGTATTGTTATGGCCATTAAGTTGAGTTTTACGCGTGCAATCATATCCTTGTTTGACACAAAGCGACAACCTATGGTCAATGCAGGAATTCGTCACAGGCAGATATCAGATTTAATCCTTTTTGCAGATCCAACATCTTCATCTCCTTTATGTCCAAACACATTAGCTGAAACCTCCACCCAATCCCACTGACAAGCATGTGACAAGGCCAATACATTGTACGCCGCTTCTTTTCTGAATATTTCTCCCGCACCACCCCCCATCTTGATGGTGCGGCCGTCGGCCCCCAGACGAATGGTGCGGGTTATTAGACGAGACGGAGCACCGAGGCCTGATCAAAGCTGCTCTGATCCAAGCGCCGGACTGTCCACTCGGAAAAGACAAACACAGAGAACTAGTATGTAAAAACCAGACATACAGAGACGTGTTGATCCTCTGACTCCCAGTCATTGGGAGGTGATTTATGCTGTTGGCAGAGGAGGCAGAGGAGGCAGAGGAGATGTGTACTCCTCCAGATGGTGACAGCTCACCACTGCCACAGGAGCCTTCACTCCAGCTGCTTCCCTGTGAGTCATAGCACAGCAGCTTTGGATGTGTGTATGTATGTGTGTGTGCAAGATTGGGTGGGTGTGAGCAAGTCTTTGCATGACCTGTAAAAAGTATGATTTTATACATGGAGTACAATACATGTATCTTTATGTTTATTTGCTCTTGCATGAGTGCGTACCTGCATGTGCCTGGGTAATTTCTATGTGTGTGTTATTGCTGCAGCATCTGCTCTGCACATTCAATCCCCGTCGCCCTGGGATGCAATAAAACAACACTATTGCCCATAAAAGTTTAAAAAAAAAGAAGAGAGCTGTTAGTTTAACGATACGTCTCAGGCCACGTCTGCAGGTGTCAAAACCACACTCCCTCCCTCGCTCTCCTTCCTCTCGCCGATCCTCACACTGCAGCAAAAACCATAGTCGAGGCTCGTTCAGATGGCGCTGCCTGCCACCCACTCGTGCCACGCTGACATTTGAGAGGAACTCAGAGTATTGAAAAGGAAAGGAAGGGAGAGGTGGAAAAGTAGACGATGCCAGCTAGAGTAGTTGCATTTTAGCCAAAAGACAGGGGGAGAGGGAGAAGCCAAATTAGAGAGGAAAAGCAGAGAGAGTGGGTGTGACGCCTCACTGAAAATCAGCTCAATCCTCTCCCCCTCCCTGCCTCTATCCATTTCTCCCTTTCTGCCTTCCTGGTTGCATCCACCTTGCAGACAGATTGGCTCTCAGGAAAAGCCCTTATCACAGGCCCAGACCTCAGCGTCAGAGCGGGGGAACCCGAGTGGCTGACTCATCCAGCAGCAGCAGCAGCAGCAGCGATACAAAGCAAAGAAGATGGTCTGCCCTGTGTGCCTTCAGATTAACAAGGCAGCTAAGTTGCAGCAGTCACTCAGCCCAGTGACAAGTGCAGTATGACTCAACCACCTTATTGAAAAAACTGTCAAATGAAGGTACGGTTCTGTATGTGTGTGTGTGTGCAGGGGGGGGGGGGTTTACCCAGAGTTTGCTTTTCACACATGCACAACACAGAAGGAGGTTCTCTGCACACACACGTTCACAACAGCAACAACAAATCCTCTGTGTTATTCAGATGAGAGGTGGAAGCGACGTATTGACGCCACTGCGGAGATCACGTGATCTTCTTGACAACACACAAATCTGTCCTCTATCACTTGGCCAATTTTAAAATTGTTTATGACTTGTTGGCTCAGCAGTAATTCATATTTGGCTCATTCTAATGTTTGTCTTTTTCAGCCACAACCAAAAGGAGACAGGACGGAGAAGCACAGGCAACTCATTAAAAATAGAACACACACACACACAAACACACACACAAACACACACACACGGAGCGCCGCCCACCATCGCAGCATATTGTTTACAAGTAGAGCTCAGATGGACAGGTAGTGATTAGACACAACAAAAGAAACCACCTCTGCAAATCTGCTGGTCTGCAGTGCCCTGCTCTGTGTTTCCATGTATCTGTGTGTGTGTAACCCAACACACACACACATTCACACACACCTTATAAACTCACTGACAATGAAGCCATGAGCCAAGAGAGGACATTATCGAGGTCCATTTTATTTTGAGCCAAGATGGGACCTGCAGGTGTTTGAGAGTTGAAGTTCTTACTCAGCGCTGCCTCTGCAGGACAGAGCAGGTATTATGACAACATATTCACATATAGTGTTTTTTCACGCGTCTGTTTAGATTGAATGGCGTGCAGCCCCACAAACAGAACAGCACAGGCTGCATTTGCACCGAAACACAGTCCCGGGAGCTCTCTCAAAACTCGTCATGGTCTTCCTCCACGTAATCCCCTGCTTTATCCCCTTGGAAGTCGGGCCGAAGCCCCCTCCCTTACCCTCTGCAGAGGGATGGGTTTTGATGCTCCGGGTTCCGACAATGGGTGGGATTCGAACCAGATATTGAACCACAAGCGCCTGAACCCACCAAGCCCCCTTTTGCACTGGGAGCTCCTCTCTGAGCACTTATCAGTCTTCACTTTGGGAGTCGGACTCTATTCCTCAGCTTTTTAATCTTTCCTCTGGGTGCTGGGTCTTCAAAGTACAACATGTTGCCAAAGGATCAAACACCCAAACCTTAAAATGTCTGAATGATCCTGTTACCCCAGTTCCTTTCCACTTGGACACCATGACCTGGTCCCACTCTTTCCTTTGGACAGCCCCCAAAGGAAAGAGTCAAAATCTCTTCAAATGAAGCAAACGCTCTTCATGTAATTAGTTCAGCGTCACAGAGGACTACTCAGAGTTCTGAGGTTCCATTTCTCTAAGTGAATTTTGAACTCTTGCATTCACAGTAAAGGCATAAAGACATAAAGTTGTGCTGCTGAAATGGACCTGACCAACTAGCTCAGGGATTTTGCAGTTTTGAGGTCAAAGGTTGGATCATTGTGATGCTCATTGAATTTTCCTTTGTTAAAAGGAAAAAGTCAAACGCTCTAAAAAATCAAGCTCACGTGTTCCTGGTGAAATTGCTGATGGTGTCAAGGGACCACAAGGTTTTTGAAGTCTTGGATTCAACCCCCAGACACTGCACTGAAATAGAAAGTCCATCCCCTGAAGTTATTTAAAATACTTGTCAAAGACTCAATATTGGAAATATTTTGTATTTTTTAAGTAGCTCAGGGATTTGGTTTGAACATTTTCAGACACATATTTTTGAAGTCCAACACCCAGAGATTAAAATTCTCCAGCTCAGAAATCTTTGAATAAGATGAAGATCTGCTCTGAACATTTAAGGATGTGGATTCAAAATTTTAAAAGCACTGAAAGATCCATAATAAAACTGTGTCATTATTATTTTTGCCTACTACATCAACAGACGCTAATATAAACAGAATTCACAATATATAGTAATTTTTGGTATTTCCAGGTATTTGCCAATAGCGTGCAAAACTATATAATTTAAGAACATATGTCAAAGAAAATGTAAAAATTATATAGTTAAATGTACAATATGCAACTCTGGCCACGAGGGGTCTCTTAATCAAAACGATAACAGAAGACATAGTTTCATGATATCGTGAAGCAGCATGGGATCATGGGAGTTGTTGTCCTCACCACCATTGCTGATGGAAGGAAAAAGCAGCACGTTGGCTAACTGAGTAGCAGTGAGCTTTTCCTTCATTGTACATTATTTGCTCCAGAGACTGGCAAAGTCACGGGTGAAGCAGATATGACGCAATCAACAGGCAACCAAAATGAGGTCGCCAAAATTCAATCATGTCCCAGTCCCACCCACAGGATGTGGAGGTCCCCTCTGGTGACAGGTAGACAGGGCTGCCTGTCGCCCCTAGACAATTTTTAAAAGAAAATTACAGAAGTACTTTTCTGTTACATTACAAAGACCTTGATTGTGATTTACTTGTATTACTAATGAGGTTATGGTCCACATTTGGTTGCCGTGGTGTTACGGTCCTCTGTTGGCAAGGTAGCGATGTTTGTGAGTGTGTGCGTCCGTAAGTGTTTGCCTCACGCTCTCAAACACAGGCGGCGGCGGCTCTGATGTACTTACTGGTCCATCCACGACTCTCAAGAGGCATCCTAAAAAGCCTCAACTCAGGGGGATGCATGAATGGAGCTTTTATATAAAAAAGACAGACTATGGGGAGAAAATATAGAAAGCAATATAGCACTAACAGCTTTCCGGCATACCGCCATTAATGTAGTGGCGTCTAAAAAAAGGACTCGTAATCTGTGACCTCCAGTTTGAGATCATCACAGGAAAACAAGCATCAGACATTTTCAAGAGAGCATTAATTTGTTAAAAAAAATAACTCTCTCAGTTTGATTCTGTGCCTCCACTGTAAATTATATTTAAAAGGTTTATGTTTGGTTCAGTGCTAAAAAAAAGTTTAACAGTTTGGGAAATACGCTCAGACTGCTCAGTTTACTGCAAAGAGTCATACAAGATCACGAAACAGCTCGTCTGTGTCTGTCAAAACAAAATCCACAGAGCAGTGCATCTAAAGCTCATTTAATGTTGTTTGGTCCATGCAAAAAATGAGGAGTAGTAGTTTTAACTGGAGCTTCATATTTAGAATACAGACATGAGTGCAGAAACAGAAAGAAACATATTAATATTGGGCCTTAGAGGTTCTGGTAGACTGATTTCAACCTTTAGACAGCACCACGCTGCACCATTGTTTTCGGCCTTTATGCTAAGCTACAAAAACTATTTCCTGGCTATAGTGCAAGAAGCATCACAGCCCTGACTCAACACATCCTGTGAATTTCTATGTAAAAGGTTCAATTCGAGTCAAATGGCCAAAAAATTGGGTTATGCAGTGAAGCCCTTCAGACATTTATGTGGTCGACTGCTTCATCGTCACGAGGAATAAATCCGACCTGCATGTGTCGGACCCCTGGCGCTGAAGAGGGCAGAGGGGAGGGGAAGAAATGGGGTTGTTGAGGTCCTAACAGGGGTTAAGATAAAATGCACTTAATGACCCCCAGAGGAGCTATCAGTGCTCCAGGAGACAGAGGCCTGGAGACAGAGTGGGAGAGAGGGGCTGAGCGTGCGGACCACAGAGGAGAGATGAGAGCATTAGTCTGTTACACCAACACTGTCCACTTAGGCAGATTAAAACTAACTTCTAGCCTCTTCAGACCAGCCGCGCTCCCACAGCACTTCCATACGAATACATGTCTGCTCGCGCTCTTATCCATCACCTCTTCATCTCAAATAAAAATCCTGATTCATCAGGGACGACACAAAGGGTTTAATACGTCTGCTTTGTATCCATGAGAAAAAAACATAAAAAAACGTGCATGTTTGATCAGTATGTATACTTGTGTATACTTAAGTCCTTTATTAATCATGTTATTACTTGGTCCATAACCCCCAATTATGTATGTCTCACCAGCTGTAGGCATCACCGTGCAAACTGTAATTATGTTTTAGATGAATAAATACAAAGAAAGAAAGAAAATGAAAAATATACATTATTATTACTCTTAACAAATATAAAACTCTTTTTTTAAGATCACGTTTTCAGCCCGTCTATTTGTTTGTTGGTTTTTAAGCAAGTTTACATTAAAAACTACAGAATGATTTCCACTAAACTTAGTGAAGGGATACAGTATGTGTCAGGAATGAGCTCATATACAAATTAGAGATTTTGTGAAATTGGGCATTTTTCAAACTCTTCCTTGATTTCTCAGAGAATAATTCATCTTGTTGGGTTTGTATGAAATAAATCAGGAATATTTAGCGTGTGCACTTTGGTTAAGAAGAAATAAAAATCCAGATCTAGTGAACTTAAATGTGGTTTCATGAGGGGACTGTTGGAAGAAGGCAAAATGTAATTTTTGAGGAAACTCCTCCTGTATCTCTTCTTACAAACTATGTCAAACTTTGTTTTCCTGCCACTCAGGGAAAACGTATCTTCATCCATCTTTCAGAGAGCAGCAGAATCATTTTTTTCATTCATTCCCCAAAAAGCAGCTAACCCCCTTTTTTTTATTAATTTCAACTGGTGTCGATCTAATTTCTAGAATAACACTTTCAAATGATTTCAACGTTTGCTGTTTGCCTGAATATTCTGTCTTTCAAAACTCTTTAAAACTTTACATGAGCTAGATCTCCTCAGCTCTGCTCCGCTCGGCTGTGCAAGCTCCGACACTCTGATGTGTCTCCATGTTAGAATTTGCATCTCTATCTCTGCCACAGGGCCCCCGAAACAGGAGCCCGGCCAAGGGAGGGACAGAAATTGCGAAAGGGGGAGAGGGAGAGAGCGTGTGACAGAAGAGACGAGAGATTTCAGGACATTTCATCATTTAGTCAGGAAGGCGTCTCGGAGATGAGGGGTGGGGGTGGCTGGGATGTAAGGTCAGACTCTCAGGTGGCAGCTTCCTGTTTAACCTCGTCACAGAGGCCACAGGCGACCTTGTTTCCTATTAAGCAAAAAGCAAGGAGAAAAAAGCACAGGAACAGCCCCCCCTCCCTCACACTTATCTGGGCAGAGCTGCTATAATTCAATTAAAACTGTGACACAGAAGTGAGGACAATTGATGCCTGGTATTGAGAAACACCCCCGTCACAGTAATCACCCCTCATCCGCTGGTTAAACGGCTTTTAAACTCTAATCTGCCTGAAATCATAGTATTAATAATAATAATAATAAAACCATCAGTAATCGAACACAAAAGAAAGGAAGCTCAGGATCTATTTCTGTGCCAGATTAATAATGGCCCATTTGTAATATGTATTAATTAAAATCTACTGTAGCACAATGAGGAACAAAAAATGAAGAAGAAGAGCGAGAGAGCAATGTCGCTTCGCTGCCTCGATTTCCTGTGTAATGCAACTTTAATCAGAAAAGTGGGGGAGCGCTTGCAATTTTTGTAATGAGCTCATTAAAAATGTGTTTGTGCAGGCGCATGAAGGCATCAGCTGTGTTATTACATGAAGATTTCAGACTCTACGGCAAAAATGCACAAAACAAATATACCCCAAAAAAATCACTTATTGGAGCTGCTTAGTTATTCATATATTGGTAAAACAGTGCAATCATGAATTATTGTTAGAGGTGCATTCCGACAGGTGACAGTCCACAAATCATGCAGAGGCATATGTGCAGAGGAGTGTTGCAACATTAATGTATTGAAGACTATTTTGAAAAAGCCCTATTGATTGATTACTGTCAGGAGAAGCTTTTACAGTAACGCCACACAAACACACTGCGGTGCATTTCCAGCCAAGAGGTTTCCTGCCACCAAAAAAAAATAATATATTTTTTTCAAATCTTCCACAAACTATCAGCAAAGCAGACCCTTCCTCGCAGCGCTGCATTAGTACACAGAGAGCATGAACTGACAGTGTGAGTGCAGCCACATCACATACAGATGAGCACACACACACACACACATTCACACACAGAGAGGCAGAGACAAAATCAAGCCAGCTTTGTAATCCAAATCAAAGATGCAATACCTTCCACGCAAGCAGAGACTCATCCTGGAGAGATTTCCCAAAAAATCCCCTGCAGCTTCACTGGGGAAGCGGGAGAAAACCCCTCTTTCTTCTGTGTGCTATCTGGATTGGATTACCCAGCTCTCCCTTAAAGCTCAGAGAAACCCCAACACATGCACACCAACGCTGCCGCCCCACCACCACCAACGCTGCTGTCGCCACCTCCAACGCAACCACGCCACTCCAGCCTCAGCACCAGC